GGGGAAGGTTTTTCAATATTTTAGAACTGAGTCCTCCCAGAAGTTCAGGGACCGTTTTAGTAATCAAGGGCAATTCGTAAAAGTTAAGAGAACTTCGAAGAAGCTATAAGTTCAGAGAACTTCTTAAAGGCTAGAACTTTCGTTAAGATTCATTTAACTGAGTAGCAGTTCTGGGAACTTTCTAGAAGTGCAGCAAATTTTATGGAAGTACAGCTGACTTTGTAAAAGCTCGTTGCACTGCATAAAACTTCAGAGAATTTTGTAGAACCTCAGCAAGTTTTGTAGAAGCTTAGAGGCATTTGTAGAGCTTCATCAAACATTGATGAAAATTCGCGAACCAAAGAGAAATGTGGCGAATGTTGTTCAAATTCGGGCAACTTCGTTGAAATTCAGGGATTTTCTACAACTACATATGACTTTTTAATACTTCAGGAACTTTGTAGATGTTCAGGGGACACCGAAGAAATTCAGAAAAGAATATATATATATACAGTAAAGATTCCTATAGTGCGGATTCGTTATTGCCGGATTCCTATAGTACTGTTGCCACTGGATTCCTATAGTACGGTCGATCCGGCATTAACAAATACACGTACCATATGGGATTTGAGCTGATTGGGACCAAACAGACGACAATTTGAAGAGATAACTTCCTGATGTCTTTGAAGAAGTTGTTAAGCAGATACTTTGCCGCCTTTTGCGAAGAGTAATATTCCGGTAGGACACAAGTTTGGTACTGTGGAAGATCCGGAAGATCCATAAAAGAGGTCAATTCGTGAAACTGATCCAAGAGCTCCACGGTTTTTTAGAAAGCACCCATAGACATCTTATCAGAATTAAATCGGAGTTGTGACCAGAAAATTTATACTGAGGACCACGGGATGGTCTACTCAAAGATCCGGAACATCCGTAAAAGTGGTCAATTTATGAAACTGATTCAAGAGCTCCGCGGTTTTTTTCGAAACCACTCATAGACGTCTTATCAGAATAAATTCGTAGTTATGACCAGCAAATGAACGATGGGGACAATAAGATGGTCCACTAAAAGATCCGAAACATCCGTAATTCATGAAACTGATCCTAGAACTCCGCGGTTTTTTTGAAACCACTCATAGACGTCTTATCACAATAAATTCGGAGTTGTGACCAGAAAATTTATACCAGGGGATGGTCCATTAGAAGATCCGGAACATCCGTAAAAGTGGTCAATTCACGAAACTGATCCTAGAGCTCCACGATTTTTTGAAACCACTCCTAAATTGATATGAATAATAACTCAATAAGACATTATTTTTAAATAGCTTATTGATTAAATTTGATGGATATTTTTGGTCGCTATTGAAAATTTAGTCGATTGCTGAATTTATGTATGGGCCCAAATTAGGGGCATTTTATTTCTATTAAATAACTAAATGCCACCTAGAAATCATCCATGATAATAAATTGAAAAATCATGTCTATAAGCAGTTCTTAAAAAACCACAGAGTGCTGAGATCTGTTTTCTTGAACTATCCACTTGAACTGATATTCCGGATGCCCCGGGGTCCGATTTCCAGTCATAACTTCGAATAAATTCTGATCAGCATTCCATGGCCTCCAGGGTCTATTTTCCGATCATAGCTCCGAATTTATAATTATAAGACGTCTATGAGAGTTTTCGAAAAAATACGGAGTTCTTGGATCAGTTCAGTTCAGTGAATTGACCACTTTAACGGATGTTTCGGATCTTTCGGAGGACCATCTACTGGTCCCAAAACAAAAAAAAAAAAAAATTGCGCCCAAACCGTCAGTTTAGGTATATAGTGTCTTCGGGAAAGTTTGTTCATATTTTTTGGCCGATATTTTTCTGTTAGTGAAATTGGGGTGGTCCATAAAATTGGTAAATAGAATATACAAACTTTTTTTTATAATTTGAAAAAGAACAATGCAATGTTCTAAAAAGTTGTAGAACAATCTATTCGAAGCTGTTTTGCTCAAGACACCAAATTTCTATCTCTTATGGTTTATGAGTTATGATTTTTTTTAAACAACCAGGTTAGGGTGGCCCTTAAAAAAACAACCTGGTCAGCAATCCTAGCGAGAAGCTGGTAAGTCTCCTCTAGGAGGAACACTGCCGGCTCGGTTCAAGGTTCAACCTTGATCGGCAGTTCGATTTCACCTCATCGAAGTGGGGGTACGAACGAAAGGCCGCGGTCCATTCGAACTCCCAAAATCTTAACGGTTTTATGCTGCGGGATGGCCTAATATCCGATGGTGATTGGTGACGTCAGGGATCGGTGGTTGTGGGCATAGAGGTAAGCGAATGCACTCTTTTCAGCCGACAGCTGAAATCTGGCATCAATGGTCCAGCGGTGAATGTGGTTGACGACATGGGACAGTTTAATGCGGAGGATTTTTAACGACCATCCCCGCTGGTAGGTTGCTGAAGACTCCGTTCATTCTGACCAGGAACAGGGTGATCGCAAGGACGGACCCCAGGGGCACATCCGTCTGGTTGAATGGGGGTTGCAGAAAGTTTTTGGCGAATTGGCTGTGGCTGTGACCTTCTAGCTCCCAATTGGCTAGTTGTTGGATGACCTCCGGCATCCAGGCCCGCTTGTACGCCTTTGAAATGTATAGGTGTTTCTATCTGCGGAGGATGCCAACGAGTGCCGGAGGGTATCCACCGGTTCCGGTTGGTCGTGAACTTCCGCATCGGTGTGGCTCCGTCTACTCGAGGCCTTATCCGAGTCGCTGTACAGTGAAGTGGAGTTGCTGTGTGGTGTTAATTAGTGCCGAAGTTGATTTTGTCTGAAGTCCTCGTTGTCGGTGAGCTCACTATCACTCTTTATGGGTGGTGAAGGAGCTATGAGTACGTTGGATGGGTGCTGCAGGTGGAGTAGCTGATGGTTGTGAGGACTGGAATGAAGTACCAGAACTTAAATTTCCATCAAGGGATCCGGGGGATCTACTTCCTCCTCGTCGGATAAAAGGGAAAAGTCGGTAGAAACATCTTCCAATGCAATTACCTCGTCAGAATCGCAGATTCGCAAAGCAGAATCTGCCTTGCTCCGTTTTGGGTCGATTGCTGAGAGTCCGTTTTCTTTTTCGCACTGGTGTACGGGCTAGGGGTTAGTTAGAGCCGTTGGTGTTACGGAACGATGTCAGCTCTTTGTCCTTAGTGTTTATGGCTTTCTGAAGATCCTGAACCTTGGCCACAAGGTCGTCGATCGCGCCATCCTTCCTTGTGAGTTCCAGTCGGTTCTCCAATGCCTTGATGCGTTCGTCCATTTGGCGGAGTTCCTTGCGGAGCTTCAAGCAATTGGGCAATCTGATGATCTTTGTTTTGGATATCCTAGCGAAGCTCAGCGAAGGCGTTGCGGATTTCTTGGGAGTCGGTCTGGTGGTTTGTCATTGGTTGGCCGAATCTGATTGGAGTCCTCGAGCGCTCCAATCTTCCTGTCTTTCTCCTCGCTGTTTTTGGCCAACATGTTGACCTTCGCTGATAAGTCCATCACTTTTAAAATTAATTTGAGATTCTCTCTGTGAGTGCCTAAACAATTGATTTGCTCTCTTCCATAATTCTCTAAAAAATTAGCTTGAATTCTCTTTAGGATTCGCAAGCAATTTATCCCAGAATTGCCTGGAAATTTTGTTCAAAATGACCATCCTCTATTTTTTTCTGAAATATTGCTTAGAAATTTCCTTACATTTCTCTAGAAATTCGTTTCGTGATGCCTTTGGAATCATTCCCGGAATTCCCTCAAAATTATTCCCAGAATTTCTTTGCAATTCCCTCAACATTCGATTCGCTTTATATTTTTCACGGATCGAGGGATATATAAACGGCTTGGAATTTCCCACAGAGCTACTTAAAAATTTTCTACTCTGAAGGTCCAACTTCTTTTGATTTAAAATAAAAAAGATCAAATATTTTTTCCCGATTTGTCATAGAATTGCCGGTGACTTCAAATTCCCGGTTCACTGGTCAGCCTGCCCTATACAGAATATTCTTACCGGTTATTTACTATGGCGCTTACACCACCCGACAGGGTGCTCATCTTATCCCAACGACTATATATCGGCTACAAAACGAAAATTTTGTAAATCGTTTTCCTTACGAGTCAAAAGCATTGTTGTTATGTTGGCTTCGGCAATACCTTAACCTATTAACCTATTATCGTCAGGGGGTGACCAATGAATGCTCTCAAACACAATGTATCCACATACCAAAATTGAGCCCTCAAGGACGTTGTTTACCCCTCTGACGATAATAGGTTAAGGTATTGCCGAAGCAAACATTTCCTCTATTCAATTTGTTTTCATTATGTCATTTGGTTGAAAACCGTTTGACTGTTTCACTGAATTTGGTATCATTAGTGATGATTTTCTAAGGGCGACCAAACTGCCCCATACCCCCCCTAATCTTAATATCACTAGCCGCAATACTTTTCGAAAGCCGGACAAGGTTTCAAGGTATTCAAGGTACTTTTGGAACTCTTTCTTCTGGGCTGTGCTGCATCAGTACAGGTTTCAGCTGCCTCCTGGTATCAATTCGTTCACATTTTCCGCTTCTTAATCCGATTCTTTGTTGGTGACCTGCCTGAGCGTTTTCTCCCGTCCTTTAATACCGCTGAAGTTCGAAAATTTTCAGCTGGTTTTCCTCTTCGAATTTTGCTGTCAATGAAAATGAAGACCAAAGTGACGTCGAAATCCTCACCGCGGTGGCAAAACCGGTTACAAGTATAAGGTTATGATAGGTCCTTCGGATCGAGCCAAGAAACCGGTTTTTACCCTACACTCAAAATAATTCGCTCCGATTATTCCAGGACGAATGGGGTTGTTTGTACCGTGAATATTTTGCAAGTCACTAAATTTCACATGCTGACCGATGAAACTCGAGCAACATCTTTATCACGCAAGCCTACCGGCAGGCAATCTATCTCCATTGTTGCAAACAAAGCCAAAATAGCACAATTGCGGGTATTTCCATTTACATAAAAATCGCCAAAGGCACTTACCTTTGCCGACGACAGACACCGATCCGATAGAGAATCCTTTAGTAATCTTGCACTTGCTGAAGCCGTTGCCTTGGCCATCCCATACAACCAGGGCCGATTTCGGGTTTTCCTTCTCGATGTAGCGTATCTTACCGTAACGAATCAATCCGTCGTAGACTTCCTGAACCGTAATTTCTAAAAGTCGACGAAAAGTTAGTTTGATTCAACCGATCCGACTTTCTGAGCTTACCTCTGGAATCGAAAAAGAACCTCGATGTGTTCTTTTCCGTCATGCGCGGTTTGGTCCAGGCAGCAAAAATGAACGGTTTGTAACCATTCAGGGTCCTGTCCGACGGCAATTCGATAGCCTTGAGCACCATGGACATTGTGCGGAATCCAACGTAGATGCGTTGGAAACCAACATTGAATTGTTCCTGCTCGCGGCGGACGAAAGTCGGATTACCGATGGATTCGAGGAATGCATTGATCTGCTGCACGGATGTTGAGTTGTGAACATTGGAGATGAGCACTGCCGGAGAAAAATGGGTGTGAGAGGATGACTATGTGTTAGATATGCTAGGAACTCACCTACGATGCCTTCGGTTTTACCATCTGGATTGACAACAGGATCGCAGCAATCAAACATCTCTTTTTTGTAGATGTCGAGGATTTTTGCCATGCGTGCCTCTTTCTTGGGGCCCATGACTGCCCTTTGCATCCTGAGAGTAGTAGCTATTTTCTCTGTGGGACAGTTACAGAATTTTGAGTGGAATTAGTTAAGAAGTTACAAGTCAAAAGGTTTTCCAACTCACTGGGAAGCTTTAAATCCATGCCCTCTATGTATGGTTCAACATTGACTGGCCTTCCGCCAAGTGACTTCACAGCGAGCACGGCCTTGGCATCCACATTGTTCAGGAAGAAAATCCGCACCTTGAAGTTGTTGTCCAATAATCTCACCAAATAGAACACATCCCCAACATGTTTGAAGCTCTTGACGACGTCCTCGTAAACTAAATCTGCTCAAAAAAGACGAAGAATTTCCTTAGAACCCCTTTTTTACCCCTATGCCAATGGAACTTACATTTCGATAGATAATCCAACACAAACACCTTCCCCGGAACTTCGACAATGTACCGGTTGCATGCCAGAACGAACAGATATCGTCCGTGGAACGGATGCAGAAAGTACTCTGTCGCTCTTACTGCAGCTTCCTCCGAGGTAAAACAAACTTTGGCCCACCGAGTAAAGTAGCAATTCTTCGACGAACCGATCTTGCACGTTTCCACATCGCCAAACTGTTCCATGTACAACACCAGAACGAGACGACTCGTCTCCGGTTGGATGTTGTTAACCCACACTGGAAAACCAAACAAAAATCAACCAAATTAAATGCATTTCATTTTATGTAAGGCCATCTACTTACCACTGCGGCAATCTTTCTGGGTCTTCACTTCGGCAACGTTCATCTCAATCTCAGAGGCCTTCACTGGTCGCATGAGATCGTTCGGCTGCGGTTTGTACGCAGATGGAATGGGTGGAACGACCGATGTGTCCACTATTGATATTTCCGAGTCGGATTCATCGAGGATTTCTGTCGTTTCCATTAGTTCTATGATCTGTACATCATCCGCATCTTCTGAGTCCACAGCGGGAGCTGCAGCGACAACAGGAGCCGGAGCGACAACGGGAGCCGGAGTGGCAACAGGGACCGGAACTGGTGTAACTGTTTCCTGCTTCTTCGGTTGTTCTTGTACTGGGGGAGTGGACTTGGTTGGTTGAACAACAGGAGCAGGTTGTGGAGGCTTCTGCTGTGGTTGTTGTTGTTGTTTCCCAGCAAATGCATTGGCCTTCTCCTTCAACAGCTGAATGGTGGACATCTGCTGTCGTTCAGGTTGAGGTTGTTGTTGCTGACGCTGGGGTTGGGGTTGTTGTTGTTGTTGTTGCTGACGCTGGGGTTGGGGTTGTTGTTGTTGTTGCTGACGCTGGGGCTGTTGTTGTTGCTGACGCTGGGGTTGTTGTTGTTGCTGACGCTGGGGTTGGGGTTGTTGTTGCTGGCGCTGGGGTTGTTGTTGAGGCTGCCTTTGCTGTTGCGGTTGCCCTCTTTGCTGCTGCTGCTGTTGTTGTGGTTGTTGCTGACGTTGATTTTGCTGTTGTTGATTTCCGGTTTGTTGTTGTGGTTGATACTGTTGCTGCTGTTTCGGTGGTTGAGATTTCTGCTGTTGGTTTCCAAATTGTTGCTGTTGCTTCGCAGGTTGCGAATGCTGTTGTTGTGGCTGCTGCTGCTGCTGTTGTTGATTTCTGGGTTGTTGTGCCTGCTGCTGCTGTTGTTGTTGTTGTTGTTGTTTTGCAGGTTGAGATTGCTGTTGCTGTGGCGGCCTCGACTGCTCCTGAGCCATATCAGGCTGACGAGGCTCGATCGGCAGGATCATTTTTCGATACAGATCTGGCATTCTTGCTTTCAGCGTGTCCAAATTGACAATCATAATTTCAATGTTGCGAGTAAGCAATTGAATCTTAAGGCTGGATCCCTTCAGAAGCATGTTGTTTTTGTTCATCGCATTGCGAACCGATGACTTGTCCTCGAAACCTATGTAGGCAAAATCGTCGGTACGAATCTGAAGGAATGCTATCTTGCCGCATTCTTCAAAATGATCGTAAAGGTTCTCTTCGGAGATTTCTGAAAGTGTACAGATGAAAACAGTAATTATTTGATCCTAATGCAATAGTATCCCTCAGAACTCCAAGCTCGACCCAAAATTACCCCCACCACCAATCCATTGCATACTCACTTCCAGTAATGTTGCGCACAATGACGGTATGGTCGGCTTGGAAAAACTGCGTCTGATCAACGCGCACCATAAACAGTCGCTTGCCGCGGTAATTTTGCTGATTCCGCAACAGCAGCAAATCCAGGTCGGCTTCGTTGGCCACCCGTACGAACGCCGCAATGGACCGCTTGGTGCATTGCTTCTCCCGCAGGAAGTAGACCTGCTGCACCGGGGCCCACTTTTCGAGGTACGTAATCAGATGCTCCTCCGAGCTCGATGGGGAAATGTTCTCCACGTAGAGCAATTGGTTTCGGTTCATGTTTTCCGCTCTCACACTTGGAAATGGCAGATTTTCTCACTGAGAGGAGAATGGGAAGGTAGGTAACAGAAGAGAAAATGGTTCCTATCAGGATGCGCCATCGGGGACAGCAATCGAAATTTTTCCACTTACCTTCATTTAAATCCGACCGGAAATTGGTGGATTCGATGCTGTACGGATTGCGGATGAACTTGAGAATGAGTATATCTTATAAATTATTATTAAACGCTACTAAAATGCGAGAAATTCGACCAACAAAACTGTTTATCAAGCTACGGCACGCAAGCGTTTCAAACGACTTTGACGGCATGAAAATTTTTGGCATAAGAGCTGCTTTCCGAAAGGGCGCATGCTGAGCGTCATGGAGCGCACCGGTTGACAGACGTCAGATGATGATGATGGCTGCGTTCTGATGACGGGGATCGTCAATAATTACTGTACGCAACATAACGTATGAAGCCTGGTACGCAGCTGAAAAGTAATGACGTTTTAGGCTGTGAACCATTTGCCGAGTTAAATTTAACTCGTGGTTAAAAGTGACATTTCGAAAGTTATTTTCTATGTTCGAAAATCCCCGTGCTGTCGATCGACCGGTTTTCGAGCCGCGGTTGTCAAAATTTAACTTCTTGTCTGTCAGAAATAACCATGCTCGGGTAGCAGGGTTAATCGATAACTTTTCATCTGTCAAATTTTAACCAAAAGTTAAAATAATGCACCAAATGGTTCAGAGCCTTAACGTGCTACGGGATAGGACACGGAATGCTAAAGAAATTTCTTTTAATTAGCATTTCTTGACCCAGTACGCAGTTAAAAAGAAATCGGTGAAGGAAAGATCGATTACATTAGTATCGTGATCGACATGAAGGTGGCGCATTCTGAATGCAATTTCACTTTCCTTGCGGAATAATGGTCTGATCAATTATTCCGTTAGGTAATGTTGGCGTTTATTGCAAAACTGATGTTTTGGATGCATTTAAACAACATAAACACTAATAAGTGTTGATTTTACAATTTGACCACATCTCCCTATATCTCAAAATTTAGCAGACTATAGCTGTCAAATTTTCTTTTGGGAAAAATCCTCAAAAATTACTTTTCCGTTTTCTTTTCAGCTGCGTACCAGGCTTGAGCCAAAGAAACAAGTCAGTGCTAACATTTGAAAACGGCGCAAAAGCCATTTGTAAACAAATGGTTTGTGGGCCCTTTACTCGCTACCCGAAGAACGCCCACGCAAACCAACAGCATCGTCAGGAAGGGGAAAATTTCCCCTACCCGATGTTGCTGTTGTGTCGCGTGGGTGTACTTCAAGTAGTGAGTAGAGGGCCCACAAACCATTTGTTTACAAATGGCTTTTGTGCCGTTTTCAAATGTTAGCACTGAAGTGACCCGCCCGCATTAACGCGAACCATAACTTTACCTTGCCGAAAATGGTTTAAAATTGTTTATAATCCCTGCTAAACTTTATCTGAAATGGTTATGGAACTTTACATGAACGTTTGGGTGATACATTTTGAACCTTCTGTATTATGGTTTTTTGGAAGTCAACCTTACAAATAATGGGTTGTTAAGAACCATTACCAACAATCAATACGAAACTAACGATTTTAAATTGGCTCACTATTTGACTAGCCTATTGGTCCCAAGCAAATCGATTAAGTACCCCATTCTTGTCAAAATTCTAGTACTACACTATGTTTGTTTTGATTCACTATGAAAGTTTGACAGATAAAATTCGATTTTCCTATGTTTCGAGGGGTGAATCGATTAGCTTGGGACCGAAGATAGTACCAGAGCTGAGCCAAAAAGTTGAGCACGTTTCTTCGGGACCTACTAGTCTTAGAGTTGCCTCTATGCCATTACCATTCAAAATAGTTGTTTTCTCCATACATTTTCGGAAAGAGAACTATATTAGAACCATGGTGGGTATATAAATGGTGATACAGCTTTGTCACTATATAGGCAAGGAGGTCACGGGGGAGGGGGGGTAGGGCGTTTTAGAGCAAATTGTAAACAAACTCGGTCGCTGTCCCATACAAAAATCCAACATGGCTGAATCATGAATTTGACACATTATAATACCTATATGTAGTCACCTTGATTAGAACCTTTTACGTTATATGGTTTGAAAACTTTAATGGTAATGGGGAAGGGCGTACTCAGGTTTCAAATTAGGGTGGGGGGCAAAAAAAATGTTTATGAAGAATTAGGTTAGTTGCCTACACGGTGTTTCGCGAAGTAATTATTAAAATTGTACTTCTTCCCTCTCTAATGAAAATCCACGAACCTCTCATTTTATCTGTCTGGGGTACGTTAATCGATTTGCTTAGGACCAATAGGCTAGTCAAGTAGTGAGCCAATTTAAAATCGTTATTTCCCTTGCAAATGTTACAAAAATGATCATCATGGATCCTAGACACAATCATCGTTTTACACTTCTTTTCTATTTTCTGCCTCTCCTTGAGGACTCTTCCCTTCTGCTGCACGACAGTTACCGTGTCTCCTGCTTCGACTTTCAAACCCGGCACATATTCTTTTTTGGTCTCGACATTTTCCACTAGATCATGCTAATCCAGCAGTGTGAGCATCCGAAATTTCCACGCCGCGTTCCCCATTTCTAGATTATTGGCTGCTTGTCTTCAGTATCTTGAGCGTCCCTTACTTCCTAGTTCTTGCTCCACTTGTTCTACATACCAAGCTCACTGCGCTCATTTACTTCTTGAACCGGCCTTTTTTGCGGAATTCTCGCATCACTTTTCAAATATACCAATGTAACATATCCTCCATTTTGAGAAAATCGAAGTTGAAGTTCGACAGATTATTATTTCAACTGTTTAAAAACAATACATTTTGTAATACTATTTCTAATGTAGTCAGTGTATAATAACGTTGAAAATTCATAAGAAACGGTAAAATCACAATTTAACTTTGAATTTCATGCTACAACATAGAAAAAACCACATAGGACGTTTTGACAAGTCGAGTTGTTCATCGGAAATGTTACATTGGACGATTTTTCTCAATGACATAATCAATGAGTGTTACATTGGACGTTTTGTCTACATGATACTAGATTCCCTTTCACAGATTTCAGAGTAGAGTACCTAACTTTAGATTGGCCCGCCTTTGGAAAATGAGCACCACTCATGTTAGGCAGTCCGAATGACCGAAGTAACAATCATGTACCCATCATTTCAAACTGTACATTGGACAATTTTTGATTAATGATTATCTTAAATAAATGAAATTAAATTTGGATGGATGTTTTTGTATGACATACAATGATAGAAGAGCAATAGTTTGTATCGCTTAACTCGATTTGTTTACATTTGTTACATTGGTCTATTTGAAAAGTGACGCGAGAATTGTTGTCCGGTATTCTTACAACTTGTCCCGCTAATTGTACCCTGTAGTAGATAGAGTTAGCTCAGACAAACAGACATAACACATTAAATATTTCTCACTGTAAAACATCGTCGCTAAAACATTACCGCCATCTGTTGAATACACTGTGGTGGGTAGTACACTGAACAGATGGCGGTAATGTGTAAACGTCAAACGCAAGGGAATTGACTATGCGCGCCACAGGTGGCGGTGCTACCAACTACGATACTTTTTAATGGACCGTTAAATGCTTGTTCGATGAACAACTTGCGAGTGTAATGTCTGTTTGCCTGTGGAGTTAGTGTGAAATAGAAATGAGTAGAATTGAGTGAGCGTGAAGCGTGATAGACCGTATGTAAACGGAATCTGATTGGTTCGCAAATTTTGATACAGCTATAGAGGTATAAATATGTGGTAGCTAAGCTGTTCCGCTCGCACATAGAGAAAACCCTAGTTAAGTGCTCCGCCTTGGTTAGGTGTTTGTATCCGCTCATTTGCCGCAGATCCCGCCTCTCAAGGCAAAACAAACTGGCTGTTTACAAACAGATCATAGCCCCCGCGATCTTCTATGCCGCCCCGGTGTGGGAATCGTGCGCTCAGACCCACAGGAACAAAATCCAGGTTGCACAGAAAAGAGTGTTGAGGATGATCCTAGATCGTCCATTCGACACAAGAATAGCAGACCTCCATCAAGAGGCAGAAATTCCCAAAGTAGATTCCAAAATTGATGATATGACAACTAAATTTATTCAAAAATGCAATCTTTCTGAACATGCTTTAATAAGCAATTTGTACATAGTAGGTTAAGTGTATATAGTAGAGTAGGTTAGTTTTAAGCTGTCAATAGTAGTATTAAGTAGTTTCTCTTCAAATTCTAAAAACAAAACAAACCAATCCCACCAAGGTGGTCGACCGTGTACTAAGTCTAGGACTAATTCTGTAAAACAAATTTTGAATTTTGCCCATACCTAAAGATGAAGAAAGCAATTAAATCACTTAGTAAAAATTTATATGGTAATCGTCCAAGTTAAACAAAAATAAAGATCATTTAATCATTTAAACAAACTTGTTGACGGCTTTCTTATGACGGACTGTGGAGGTGGAGAAAGCGGACGACCAGCAAAATACCACCAGCAGAAGGGTTAGCGGCACTAGCGGACCAACAGAGAGAGCAGCAGATTCGTGGCACCGTGACTGAGGCTAGAAACCTCAGATTCGTGGAACCGAGGCTGGAAACGACAATGGCGCAACTCGGTAAGTGAGAAGCATCCTCTTTCTTGCGAGGATGCTACTGGCGCTCTCTGAGAGGGCAGTTGAAATTCCGCTGAGGGGGTAGATGAAATTCCCCCGAGAGGGTAGATGAAATTTCCCCCCGAGAGGGTAGATGAAATTTCCCTGAGAGGGTAGAAGAAATTCCTCCGAGAGGGTAGAAGAAATTCCTCTGAAAAGGTAGAAGAAATTCCTCTGAGAGGGTAGAAGGAATTCTTCCGAGAAGATAGAAGAAATTCTTCCGAGAAGGTAGAAGAAATTCCTCCGAGAAGGTAGAAGAAATTCTTCTGAAAAGGTAGATGAAATTTCTCCGAGAGGGTAGAAGACATTCCTCCGAGAAGGCAAAATAAATTCCTCCGAGAAGGTAGAAGAAATTTCTCCAAGAAGGTAGAAGATATTCCTCCGAGAAGGTAGAAGAGATTCCTCCGAGAAGGTAGAAGAAATTCCTCCGATAGGGTAGAATAAATTCTTCCAAAAAGGTAGAAGAAATTCCTCCGGGAAGGTAGAAGAAATTCCTCCGAAAATGTAGAAAAAATTCCTCCGAGAAGGTAGAAGAAATTTCTCCGAAAGGGTAGAAGAAATTCCTTCGAGAAGGTAGAAGAAATTCTTCTGATAGGTAGGTAAATTCCTCCGAGAGGGTAGAAGAAAT